GTGATGCATTTGATACAGCGTCACAAAATCATACTTACAAAATAAACATTAGCTCATATACAATGTCAAATAGATTAAAAGTTATTTCAAGAACTGCAAACAGTAACTGGAAATAAATATTAAGTTAAGGTGCAGGGGTGTCTAGCTGAGGGAAGAAAGCAAATCAGACAAATTTGAAGTGTGATAAGGCAGCAAAAGGCAGATGAAATTTTGTGCTCTGTACGTTAAGACATCAAACCACAAAATTCAGAGATCGTATTTCTTCTCCATGAGACCGCAATCCAAATACAGCATTAAATTCTAGCATCTCAATGATAGAACGTCTTCTGATGTTAATTTCAAAGAACAAAAAAAAAATTTAAGGGAATTTTTAAGTTAAATTCATATAGCTTGGCAATGACTAAGAGGTGTTGTATAAATCTACAAATATGTAAAAAAAAGAAAAAAAAAAGAAAAGAAAGGAATTACTTACTATGGAGTTGTACCAGTGGATTTTTACTAGTATAAAGGAACAACATTAAAGAAAAAGTAAAGCAAATATTAGGAAAATCTTTACGATAGTGAGAGCTACTAGATTATAAAATAATTCTGACAAGGAATGTAGTGAAGACCACATGAACTTGGGACATTTAGAACAAAGTGACACGGCCTAGAAAATGTACGGCGGAAAAAAATCTGACCAATGTGAACACTAGATAAGTGTGTAATATATAAACAACTTTAACTATATCTGACACAGTTTTGTAACAGGTTTCAGAGTGGTAGCCGTGTTAGTCTGTATTCGCAAAAAGAAAAAAGGAGTACTCGTGGCACCTTAGAGACTAACAAAGGTATTTGAGCATAAGCTTTCGTGAGCTACAGCTAACTTCTACTGCATGCATCCGATGAAGTGAATTCTTAATTTCTTTTATTCCAATTTTTATTCTCCTTTTTTAGCAATTGTCCTATTGCTTCAATTGAAAAAATACTAAAGCAAATGGACATTCACCTATGCTATTATTCATAGATTACCAAATTACATGCTTTATGAGTTTTTCAAAAAAGTATTATTTAATCAATAAGGAACTGACATTATTTGGGCTATTTTTATAGAGAGGGTTTTCTTTTCTTTAATTTTTGGTGCTTTTTTTTTTGCCCTTTATTATATAAATTAAAAGTATTTAGGAACAGGATGGTGGGGGGGAAGATAGGAAGGAATAAGCTAAAAGGAAAAAGCAAAGGAAGGGAGAGGGTGGTAAGAGGAGAAGGGAAGGAAAAGAAAGAAAGGATGGAAAGAAGCATTAAGGACAAGTGAATCTAGGCGGAAGAGAAGTGACTGTGAGGAGGTGGTGGGAATGGGCTGGAGCATGTACCCAGCTGGCACATGAGAAGAACAATGAGAACAGAACTGTAGAAAACATAGCTGGATGACATCATGTGTGTCCAAATATGCCTGCTGCTGAAAATACTTCTGCAGCAGTGTCTCTGGTTGCCTTTACCATGTAGTTTCTTTCTTTCTTGTGTCCATATGGCTAGGGGGCAAATATGGGATCCTAATATCTCTATAATGAGGGATAGGGAAGGGTTGTCTCCCCTGCACAGTTCTGGGTCCGAAGGTCATTGTGCATAAGGGGTAGCCCAGAGCTGGGTGTCATCTTTCTCTTTCCCCACTATGTGATGAAGTATTTTGCTGAAATGGCTTCAGCAGCTGCTTCTGCTGGCTTGAAGCTATAACCCCCAAATTGGCTGCACCCATTGATGTATATTTTGAACAGTGGTTTACTTTTAAAGTCTGTCGTCCCACCATGTACACACGCTATACAGACTGGAGTACTAAACTGATTGCCACATTATAAAAATCCAGTCACAGTGAAATGAAGAGAATAGGTCTAAAACAAAACATTTTATTGTATATTTCTTTTTTGTCAAGGTTACATATAAAAACTTTATTTTAATTTCACACCTAACTTTACTCATTTTTCAGTAACAAATTGTATTGAACATATTAAAATGTAAAATGGAAATTTCACATTCCCACTCTAATCAAGTTCAACAAAGGTTTGGCTCAGTCTTTTATTTTATGATTTCTTACATAATGGAAGTGAAGTATACCATAATAAAATCTTCTAACACAAAACTCCTAACACTTTGTACATTCTTACTTACGGTGGAGACTTGTCTTTTAGGTAAGTATACTGACTGAACAGAAATGCTCTGAAATGTTTAAAATATCCTGTTAAAAACCATCATGTATATTGTTCTATAGGATTTTCTACAGGGGTGTAATTTTTCAGTGTTACATCTTAATGCTGACTTCCTGAAGGAGCTTTGACTACAATAGGCATGAATATGTTTTGAAAGGATGATGGATAAATTGCTGGGTGGTAATATAACATATCTTAGGCAGCTGATGGGGCTTTTTTTCTTCTACTTGTCTTTTAGTTATACACAGTTTTAAGATAATTATGGTCTATAAGATTGTCTTTTCCCCTTTCTAGTACCAGCAATATTTGTCTTGGTTACAGGTTCCAGAAACACCCAATCATACATCATAAAATTAATGCAGGGCAATTATAGAATTTAACATTGCACTGTATGTACAAACCGTTAATGTCCTTGTTTTGGTCAACCATTTTCTGGGTTAGTTTTCGGTGACAGGTTTTTAAGATGCAAAAGTTCACTGAAATATTAGTTAAACTATAGCATGCTGAACTCATTGCCAGGATTTTATCTAAAGCAAATTAACAGTTTATATAACTCATGGTTTAAGAAAGAAAAAATCTTTGTCTTTCCACTGACTGTACTCTTTGTGCAACTCCACACTATCCAAAGCTCAGTTAACCAAAATTCTTAGTTAAATGAATGTTGGGATACTATTAAAAGAAACTAAATATCAAAGCCCTAAAATTGAGACACTGCTCAAAAATGCATTCATGGGAAAATTTCTAATGTTTCTTTGTATGATTCACAAACAAAACTGGACTTTGAATGAAAAACCCATGTTTAAAGAAGATAAATGTTGACATTAAAGAATCAGCATGTTTTCCATAAGCCTCCCGCCCCTTTCTAATAAATCAAGGGTAGCACAGAACAACATATACAGACTTATAACATTGAAATATAAAATGAAGAATTGTTAATGGTAAGATTAAAAGCTTTGACAGCTATATTTTTAATGATTTGTAATTATGTACAGTGAATGAGCAAAAATGATGTAACACTTAGGCCAAACCTCCTCCTTTTACATAGAATTGCTACTCTGCTTAAAATATTATTGTGACCGAACAAAGTGTAACATGTATTGAAAGTAGTAAGTAGAACATATAATGATAAACATATGATATATAAAATCCTCCTTCCTCCAGGAAAACCCAAGATAGGGTGTCACAAATACAACATGACCCAGAAATTGCAAATCCAGCAGAAAAAAAAAATAAAGAAGTTGGTAAACTGAAGCTTGCGCATGCCTAGTGTACGGCTTACCTAAAATCCAAAGGGCTGATGTGCTAAAAGCCAGTAGGATAAAGATTAAGTAATCTGTAACATAGAAATCTATAAAAGACCTAAGTGAACATGGGCCCAAACTGGAGAAACACCACACCAGAAACTCAAGAATGGGACAAAAGGACCAGAGAAGGCAACAACTATCCTGGAAGATGGGGAAAACTTCCCAGCTCCCCAGAATGTGGTAACTTGGGCCCATTTACCAATTCTATCTTGTCTGTTATAAAATATATGTTCAGGCATTATAAGTGACAATAATTCTGTCTGAAATTATATAAATAAAGACAAAAAATGATTAAACCTAAATTAGGTGGATTTGTGACTCAGTTTCCCAACTTGCACTCCCAGCAATGAAGGCCAGATATACTGTCCTTCAAAGTTTGACTTTTTGGCGAGTTCCAGTCCTGAGCAGATGAGAGGTTCCATAGGAGAGGACCTCTACTCAAAACTATTCGAAAGCCCTTTATTCCAAAAGCTAAGTAAGCTAGTTTTTGGGAAAATTCTTAAGTTTCCTGAGAGCTAGCGACCCAAGTACATTCTGGACCACAGAGCAGAAGGAATTTGAATGCAATGACTAAATAGGTTCCTACTGAGTATATGTATCCCTGAGCTGTGCCCCACACTCTCTTTCCTAGGAAGTGAGTCGTTGCTAGTGCCTCTCCCAGGCTGACTTAATGGAGGTCAGAATACATTACTTACATGAAGGGCTCTATCCTACTATGTACAGAACACTAGGCTCCCAACAACATCAATGGGATGTGCTTTGTGGAACCAAAGACAGAGTGCGTAGGACATTTCAGGATCAATCCCTAAATAGAGTCACTGAAGCACACATATATAGAGAATACACTTCCAGAAAGATACACATAGCAGAAGCACAAGTGTAGCACTTATGAAGGTTTTTTGCACTTTTATTGAGGTCTACAAGGATCTTTTTAGCAAGGGAGAAACTCAGTATTCAAAGTAGTGGCAAAATTGTGCATGCAAACTACTGTCACAACAACCCAAATTTCTTTTTCCCCAGCATGATTACTATTTTGCCAAGTTTTCTCAGTTAGAGCAATCTTAGCTGTTATTGTAAGAGGAAGATATTTTTGAAAAATAAAATTTAAATATTGCCAATGTCCCTTTACCTTTTTTGTTTATATAGCACATTAAAAATGACTAATCATTACCAAATATTTATATTAGAAAGAGCTCTAAGCTGCCTTTTTGAATATATTGGTCAAAATCTATATATTTCAAGGTGTCTCGATATTTCATTTAAATTTTCCTAGAATAAACACAGGAAACAAATATAATTGTGAGACACACACCAAACTGGTTTTCAAACTACTTTGAAATTAGCTTATCTACTATTTATAACAGATGAAATTGTAAATATATTTTCTTGATTAAGAAAATCAGTGTGTATAATTTTAGAACTTTATTAATCAAGGGATTAACTTTATTTTGTAAACAGGTTTGTAAAAATATCTGGATTAATAAACTATAATCTCATGTAGCAATATTTTTACCTTTAAAATGTCAGCAGGATCCTCTTTAGCAGAAGCAACAAACAAATTATGTCCACAGACTATTCCCTCTGCGAGGAAATACTTGAGCAACAAGTTGGAGTAAATACCGTATTTATCTTCCTCTGTGGAAAGAGGGTTTTTTGGTTAGTCACAAAATAAAAGTGTGTGTGTGTGTGTGTCCGTCCCACCTTTCCCACCCATGTTTCTTCCAACACTGTACAAATGCTCTTTGAATACCTCTTTAGGTCTGCTTCTCATAGACTAGCCCTCCTATAAGTAGGCTGATCCAGTGAGGAATCCAGAAGCACGAGCTAAGCAAGATGAAGCCAATGCTTTAAATATACAAGTCCATGAGAGACTGTATTTTTGATTTCTCAGGCCAAAAGAGGCATAGCCAGGGCATTTTAGGACCACCCTGACATATAATGGGTCCATATCCCAGCAGCAACCTCCACCTGAAGACAAGATCTGTGCTTTCTTCACAACTCAGTTTTCCACAAAATCAACTAATTGAGGTTGCAATAGCTCAAAGAGCTCTTCAACTGCTCCCTCACCTAATGCTTCTTTTCGGATCAACAGGAAAGCAAAAGATCAAAATATGACTCTTTCTTATGCATGATAGAACTATATGCTTCTCATCAAGTTGTCGTGGCTTTTTAGAAAATTTATATGACATTTCACAATCATAAATGACACATACCATCTACTGTAATAAGAAAATGGCATCCCCCCCCTCTCTCTATATATATATATTTCATTTACACATCAGTATTTGTCTGTGGTGCCAAAACAGCTCATTTCTGTTTACCAATTCACACCCTACATGTGTGTGCGTGCACATTCAAGAACAAATAGACAAGGAAAAATGTATATAAAACATAAGTCTCTAGAAATTCAATTTTTAAAAGTATTTTTAATTGGCAAAAGAGCTTCAGGTCGACAATTTGTTTTCAAAGTTATTCTAAGTAAACATATCAAAATGAAAGACAAGGTCAGAAGCATGAGAGTTTATAGGTTTTTTTTTTCCTCCAGAGGAGCTAGCAAACAAGTGCAGCATACAGAGGAGTTTTGAGAGGGAGTTCTCCAGGTGAAGGAGGAGTGACTACATAACCCTGGGGGTGAGGGTCATCCGTCTGTTTGTTGTATGCTTGCATGTGCCTGACTGAAATTTATAGTGTGATCTGTTGAGGGAAGGTGTGTGTGCGCGCGTGCACACACACACACGTGCACTGAGCCTAGTGCTAAGAGCTTCTTTAAGGGATTAGGGATCAAAGCCTTGTTAGGAGCCCTTAACCAGTGGGCAGGGCTACTCCAGGAGAACAGGGTTTTAAAAAGCCAACTCCTAAGCTATGAGAGGAGCTAGTGAACAGGTGAGTGAGTTTAGAGAGGGAATGAGAGAGCCTGATATACCTAACATTCTGTAAATTTATGCCAACAAACACCCCCTGCCAAACAAGCAAGCAAGCAGCAGGAGTAAAATTAATACAGAAGTCCAGCAGTGGAGTGGGGGACACCCAGTTTATTGCACTAAATACAGCATGTATGATTTCCTGCCTTGTAAGGCCAGAGTGGCTGAACTATATCAACTAAGTGAGACAGAGGTACACCGACAAAACTTTCCAGGACACAGTAGCGCAGTCCCAGTTCCAGTCTGACAGCCTTTGTCAGAGGAAGAAGTAGTTCTCCTTCCCCGAGACTATCAAACTGGATTGGAGGGAAACAGTTCCATAGTTGGGACCCTCCTTCCAGATGATGTAATAGTATCCTCTTGCACTAAAGCTTCCCCTCTGGGAGAGGAGACCCTGATTATTAGGAAGAGACAGGCAATAGCAATGGGGAATTTGATTTTAGAAACAGACAGTTGGGTTTGTGATGATCGGGAGAGCAGCATGGTAAGTTGCCTGACAGGTGTGAAGGTTGTGCATCTCTTGAGAGATCTAGACAGATGTATGTGCAATGCTGGGGACGAGCTGGTGGTTGTGGTACACGTAGGTACCAGTGACATAGGGAAAGGTAGGAGAGAGGTCCTGGAGCCCAAATTTAGGCTGATAGGAAAGAGATTAAAGTTCAGGACCACCAGGGTAGCATTCTCCAAAATGCTTCCAGTTCCATGTGCATGCCCAGGTAAACAGGCAGAACTGCAGAGTCTCAATGCGTGGATGAGATGGTGTTGAGAAGAGGGTTTTAAGTTTCTAATAAACTGGGGAACCTTTTAGGAAAGGGAGGAGCCTATGGAGGATGCACTCGACCTAACCCAAAATGGAACCAGATTGCTGGTATGTAAAATTAAAAAGGTCGCAGAGAATTTTTTTAAACTAAGGGCTAAGAGAAAACTGACAGGTATGGAGGAGCACATTGTTCTGACAGAGGTATCCCTTAAGGGAGGATCTATTAACAGGCACTCTCTATATCCTAGTGAAGAGGAGAGGATAGTAGTTGCAAAAGTACAGATAAGAGCTGAAGAAAAACAGCCAAAGGAAACAGTCCCATTCAATTACATCACTTGAAGGCAGACAACTAACTATTGACACATTTTATAAGTGCTTATATACAAATGCAAGAAGTCTAAATGCTGAGTAACTTGAATGCCAAGTATTAAATGAGGATATTGATTTAATAGGCATAGCAGAAAGTTGGTATAACAATGATAATCAATGGGACACAGTAATACCAGAGGACAAAATATACAACAATGACAGAGTACACAGGATCTGATTCAAGAGGTGAATATAGATGAACTGCTTGGTAATAGCAACCATAATGTAATTAAGTTCAACATCCTTGTGTGGTGAAAATACCAAAAAAAAACAAACAACAACAACCCCCACCACAGTAGCATTTAACTTCAAAAAGGGAAACGACACAAAAATGAGGAAGCTAGTTAAATGGAAATAAAAAGGAACATTCACAAGAGTGAAATGCCTGCAAGTTGCATGAAAAGTTTTAAAAAACCACCATAATAGAGACTCAAATTAAATGTACTCCCCAAATAAAAAAACTCCACAGTAAGAGGACCAAAAAAAAAAAAAATGCCACCACGACTAAACAGAGTAAACGAGGCAGTTAGAGGCAAAAAGGCATCCTTTAAAAACTGGAAGTCAAATCCTACTGAGGAAATAGAAAGGAGCATAAAGTCTGGCAAAAGTGAAGTATAATTAGGCAGGCCAAAAAAGAATTTGAAGAGCAACCAGCAAAAGACACAAAAACAAAGTAAAAAACATTTTTTAAATACGTCAGAAGCAGAAAACCTGCTGAACAATTAGTGAGGTCACTGGATCATTGAGGTGCTAAACGACCAATCAAGCAAAACAAGGCTATTGCGAAGAAGTTAAATGAATTATTTGCATCAAGCCACATCTATACTTACAATCCTATAGCAGCACAGCTGTACTGTACACAGCTGTGCTGCTGTAAGTTCGCTCGTGTAGCCACATTATGCCGAGGGGAGAGTGCTCTCCCATCGACATCATAAAAGCAGCTCAACGAACAACCATAGCTATGTCGGTGGGAGATGCTTTCTTGCCACCACAGCGCTTTGCACACAAGTGCTTATGCCAGCAAAACTTATGTCGCTTGGGGGGGAGGGGTTTACACACCCCTGAGCAACAAAAGTTTTGCCAACGTATGTTCTAGTGTAGACATGGCCTCAGTCTTTACTAGAGAATGAGAGATTCCCACACTAGAGACATTCTTTTTAGGTGACAAATCTGAGAGACTGTCTCAGAATTAGGTGCCAATGGAGGAGACTTTGGAATAAACTGATTGATTACTGTTTAACTTATCAGTCGGAACAGATGGTATTCACCCAAGAATTCTGAAGGAACTCAAATCTGAAGCTGCAGAACTACTAACTGTGATATGTAACCTATCACTTAAATCACCATCTGTCCCAGATAACTGGAGAATAGCTAATTTAAGGCCAATTTTTTAAAAAACACTTGATAGGCGATCCCGGCAATTACAGACTGGTGAGCCTAACTTCAGTATCAGGCAAACTGGTTGAAACTATAGTAAAGAACAGAATTATCAGACACATAGATGAACACGATTTGTTGGGGAAGAGTCAACACAGCTTTTGTAATGGGAAATCATGCTTCGCCAATCTATTAAGATTCTTTGAGTGAGTCAAATATATAGACAAGAGTGATCCACTGGATATAGCGTACTTGGACTTTCAGAAAGCCTTTCACAAGTTCCCTCATCAAAAGCTTTTAAGCAAAGTAAGCAGTCATGGGATAAATGGGAAGGTCCTCTCATGGATCAATTACTGGTTTAAAGACAGGAAGCAAAGGGTAGAATAAATGGTTAGTTTTCACAGTGGAAAGAGGTGAATAGCAGGGTCTTCCAGGGATTTGTACTGGGACAAGTACTATTCAACATATTCATAAATGATCTGGAAAAAGGGATAAACAGTGAGGTGGCAAAGTTTGCAGAGGATACAGAATTAACCAAATAGTTAAGTCCAAAGCAGACTGTGAAGAGTTACAAAGGGATCTCACAAAACTGGGTGACTGGGTAATGAATATGGATAACTTCACATTGGAAAACATAATCATAACTATACATACAAAATGATGGGGTCTAAAATAGCTGTTACCACTCAAAACAGATCTTGGAGTCGTCATGGGTAGTTCTCTGAAAACATCTGCTCAATGTGCAGTGGCAATCAAAAAGGCTAAGGGAATGTTAGAAACCATTAGGAAAGCTCTTAGCTATATAAAACACTAAGTATCATAATGCCACTACATGAAGCCATGCTATGCCCATGCCTTGAATACTGCATGCAGTTCTGATCACCTTATCTCAAAAAAGTTATATTAGAAATGAAAAAGGTAGAAAGTCTGGTAGCAAAAGTGATTGGGTGTATGGTACAGCTTCCATATGAGAGGAGATTAAAAAGATTGGGACCGTTCATCTTTAAAAGATGACGACTAAGGGGGGATATGCATGAATGTAGTGAAGAAAGTGAATAAGGAAATGTTATTTACCCCTTCACATAACACAAGAAGCAAGGGTCATCCAAACAAATTAAAAAAGACAGCAAGTTTAAAAAAAAAAAAAATAACCCCACAAGAAAGTACTTCTTCACACAACACACAGCCAGCCTATGGAACTCATTGGC